GCTTGATCATTTCCTCTGCACTGGTCATTTTTTGCAAAGGAGGGCAAACATGTGACTTGCTCCAGCAGCCACTCCAAGATGGGCCACAGCTGGAGCCAGCATGGTACAGAGCAGGGCAGGAGGCCATGGAGCTGACAGACAATACTGGGAAAATTCATTTAACACCGAGGAAAGCCAGCTGGACTGTCTCACAAAGATGACCCCTGGGAAGCGGATATGATGGTGCACACCTGTAATCCTAGTACCTGAGAGGCTGAGGCAGGAAAATTGCCATGAGTTGGAAGCCAGCTTGGGCTACACAATGAGACCCTGTCTCAAAAAGCCAAGCCCCCCGCAAGGATTCCAGGAAGGCTGAAGACCACTGTATGAAATTCAAGGTCACAAAGCCAAGGGCAGAAAATGCCAGGAGATGGTGCCTTGATCCTGAGAGGATAAAGGACTTCCTAGTACACCGAAAGAAGGAACAAAGGTTTGACAGAGGTGTGCAACCAGACCACAGACTTTCTGTTCAGTAAAGGGTGTCATCAACACCACCGTGACAAGGCAACTGCTATGGCCACCCTGCCTAGAACACACAAAGAAATCTGTGCACAAGGAAACGCAAGTGGGGCAAGGGACGTCCACGGGCAAGAAGATAAATCTCAGATAGCTAGCAACTGCACAGAGAGCTGTACTCAACACAGCATTTTGTTTTTTTGTTTTTGGGGGGTTTTTTTTTTGGTACTGGGAATTAAACTCAGGACCTCGCACTTGCCAGGCAGGTGCTGTGCCGCTGAGCTAAATCTCCAGTCCATGTTTAGTTTTGTTTTTGGTACTGGGGATTGAACTTGGGACCTTGCACAAGGCAGGCTGTGGAACCACTGAGCTAAATCCCCGCCCCATCCCACCCCAACCCAGTTTTTTGTTTGTTTGAGGCAGGGTCTCCCTATGTAGCCCAGGCTAGCCTTGAACTCATGGCAATCGTCCTGCCTCAGCCTCCCAAGTGCTGGGCTGACAGGAGTGTGCCACCATACCCAGCAGAGACACTGCATTTTATGAAATATAATTCTATACCCATCACACTGGCAAAAACTGTCAGAGACAGTAATCACCCAAGACAGGGAGCATAGCAAATATGCAGGACGATGTGGACCAAATGCAAGGGATCTGTCAGCACAGGGCGCAATAATGGGAGCCAGAAGTGGCAGATTCACCCTGCTGGGGATGAGGAGGTACAGAATGCAGCAGAGGTCACATCTTAAAAACAAAGGCATCCTGCTGCGTGTTGCAGCACATGCCTGTATCCCAGCATTCTGAGAGGCTGAGGCAGGAAGATCACAAGTTCAAGCTCAGGAAACTTAGTGACAGCAAGACCTGTCTCAAATAACATAACAGACTGGGGATGTAGCTCAGGACAAAGGCCCTGAGTTCAACCCTCATGGGGAGAACCGACACTAACAATAAGCACAAAAGAGCAAAAATGACAGCAAAGGTGGAGGCACCAGAGGATGTTAGCACTTATGAAACTTTTAAGAATCCTTACAAAATCAAACACTCCTTATTTTTCAAAGAGCTGGAAATAAACTACACACACCAGACTAAACAGGGGTGAGGAGGGCTATGGGACCGGGGACACAAGGAAACCTGAGTATAAGAAATACAACACAGTCATCACTCACTTAAAGTCTCACAGCCACACAGGCACACTCACACCTACCTGACACTCACACTCACGTGCACACACACGCACGCCAGGAGAGGACTTTGGAAAGAAACTGCTAAGTGTGTTATAGTAAAGGGGCTGGGATGACTTGTTCCTCAGTTCTCAAATTTCCTCTAACATGATTATTTTATTTTTGAGTGTGAAAACAAAGTTGAACCAGTTACCCAAGCATCTCGGGAAACTGAGGCAGAAGGATTGCAACTTTAAGACCATTCTGGGCAACTTAAAGGCCCTGTCTCAAAAATAAAAGGGTAGGAGGGGCTCAGTGCTAAAACTTGCTCAGCCTGTGGGAGATCATCAGTATCCCTCCCCCTAAAAAAGAAAACAGAGGGCCAGGGATTTAGCTCAGTGGTTCCAGCGCCTCCCTCGAAAGCACAAGGACCTGAGTTCGATCCCCAGATCCCCAGTACCAAAAAGAAAACAAACAGAAACAAAGATAGTCCCAGGAGCCTCAAGTTATCACCACTGGCTCCCCCTTTTGCCCCTCTGTCTTGACCCGCTGAAATCCCAGCCCCCACCCTAGCTGCTCCTACTGCAGCTTGCTAGATGACACACAAAGCTATAGTGAACCACCTGCTCCAGGCAGAACCCAGCCCCACACAGTGAGGCCTCAGAGATGCTTGGGAAGCCAACAAGGGCAGCAAGAATAAGAAAGCCAAAGGCTGAAACCAGAAAGAATTGTGCTATCCAACAGCTGGCTGCTCTCCTGATTGTGTCCCCAGGACAGGTAGTTTGGAAAAGAAAACATGAGCACAGAGCCAAGCCCACACCTGTTGGGCTGCAGTCCTCCCTGCACCCCAGGAATGAGGGCTTTCCCTGCTGGACCCACCACATGCTTGACTACAGGGGCGTTGCTTCTCACTGTACCTAAGCGCCGCACCCACACCTGTGGCTTCAGGCCTCCCTGCCTTCTCCAGCAGCTCTGTGGTACATCTGAGCACATGGTGTAGGGAAACCTATGTCCCTTTTGGCTGGTCACAAGGTTTCATCCTGACATGTCTGAGTTGTGTGGCTGGCTAAGCAGGCCCTGGCCATCTGCACACCACATCCCGTGTGTTTGAGATGTAGGTGAGGAGCCCCTCCCGGTGATGTCAGGGTCCTGGCCTATCTCACTACACCCAAATGCCAGTAAGCTCCAGTGGGAGATGTCCCAGGGAACAAGGTGGCTCCTCAGATGAACTGGCCAGAGACACCTGCAACCACACCACGCTTGTTGGGTGCCTGGCACCTGCCCCAGGGACTCAGCCTCAGCTCCTCTTGGTGCAAGGGGGTATCACCCTGCCACCCCATGGCCACTTTCACTGAGGCTGTGACGGGTGTCACCTCCTCTCTGCACATCCTACCTCAAGTGTATCAACACTCAAGAGCTGGTCAGTCCATGCTACTTGTACTCCAGGGCCACCACCCTGCCCAAACCCTTGCTAAGATGAGCTGCCTCCACCACGAAGTATCATTGTAACAACCTTTTTGTGTCACTTCCCTAAAGAATCCTCCAGTAGCTTGCCACCATCTGAGAATTTGTTTTCCCCCAGCAATGGAATCCTTTCTAGCAACTTTTTTGTTATGTTTTATAATGCTGGCGATGGGGCCCAGGGCCTCGAGCACACTAGGCAGGTGCTCTCCCACTGAGCCAATCCTGCCACATCTATCAAATCAAACCACAAGTGCATGCAGAGCAGAGCCACACATGCAGGCAGGAGAAGAGCAGCTCTGGCTGGAAACAACGGGCAGAGGAAGGTGAAGGACATGCAGGTGCTGGCCAGAGGGACACTCCAGTCTGGGGCCAGAATCTGCTGGCTTACAGAACCTGCTGAGCAGTCTGCTTGGCTGGACTCTGAGGAGGCCCAGGGCCATCCCAGGGACAAAGCCAAGGAAAGAGTCCAGCACACTTCCCAAACCTGAGGCATATTCTGGGGAAACCTGCAATGAAGCTTTTACTCACACAGGGGAGTTAGGGGTCCTCTGTCACCCAGAGGAGCCTGAGGATAAGCAACTGCTACACCTGGACTGAACCCAGGTGATGCCTTCTGGTGCCAAGGATGCCAGTCGGAGTACTGCGATCTCAGAACAGAGTCCCAGAAGCACACCAATGAGAAATCCACAGGCAAGAGTGGGGGTCCACATCGTGTCCTCCTGCTCAGGAGCTCTGCTGTGGTTGTGGTTGGCCAAGACCAGCATGTACAGAGGGAAGGCAGGAGAGGGGGATGCTGGTGTGGATGGAGAGCCCACTAAGGATGTAAAGGAGGCCTGCAGCTGCACCTGACCTGATAGCCACCCACACTGTGCAATCCAAAACACAGGGCCCTTCCATCCCTAGGGTGCTGGGGATGGACATCAACAGGATAGCAGCAGAAGGAGACTCAGGGAACAAACAGGACCAGCCAGCATCAGCTGCAGGAAATGTAAAAAAGGTCTCTACTTTGATGGGGTTGCTGGATGCAATAATAAATTCTTCCTCGATAATGCCACCACAGGACAAACGGCAAGGTGGTAGATGCTCACCTAGGCCAGCAACATTTCACAAGGGCTCAGGGGAAGTGGTTCTCTCCTACCAGCTGAGTTTAACCTTAGCCAAAAGAAATTTCCACATTAGTACAGCGCAGGCAAGCCAAAGTCCTCTTGCTTAGCTTTTGAATGCACATTACAGATCTGACTACTAGGCAGATTTGCCACCTACTTCTGCCTCATAAACCACTGTACGTGCCCCCAACACCTGCTGGCCAGCACTAGAAGACAGACGAGCTGAAGGACTTGGCTCGGGACTAAATGTTTAACATGGGACAGTGCCCAGAGACCTTCTTAATGTCAAGCACCTGGTCGAAACCTCCCAACCAGTGAGAGAGTTGACAGGAGCCACTCCAAGTCACCACAAAAGAATGGAATGATTGCTGGGCGTGGCGGTGCACACCTGTAATCCCAGCACTCGGGAGGTTGAGGAGGGAGGATCGCTGTGAGTTTGAGACCAGCCTGGGCTACATAGTGAGTTCCAGGTCAGTCTCAACTACGTAGTGAGACTCTGTCTCAAAAAACCGAAAAAAAAAAAAAATGTAATGGCCTTAACATTCCCCATGAATGCAGGGCCAAGTAGTAACATTCTTGGGTGGCAAAAATATGATGGTGGTGCTATGGGCAAAGCATCTGTCAAAGCCCTGCAGGTGCCAGGTTTGAAGGACAGCTTCAAGGCAGTGGGTGAAAAACAGAACTGAACAAGTTATATCCTGAGAAGACAATAGCATGTCCCTGGCTTCCACAACCCCAGCTGATTAGTCCCAAATCGAAGGCCCAGCACACCCCTTACCAGCTCTGGCTCTGGCTCCGGCTGAGGTTCCTCACCAGGCTTCAATTTCTTGGGCTCAGAGGGGCCTCCAGGGCTGGAGAAGACCGTGGGTAACTTTGCTGATGGTGATGCCAGAGGCTTCAAGGACCCAGAAGGGCCCCCCAGCCGCTGTCCTCCACCAGAGAAGGGAATGAAGAGGGCAGGTGTGGGCTCCTTCACATTCTGTTTTTCCTGAGCATCCACTTTTTGGGGGCCCCCAAGGCCAGTCTCCAAGGTGCCTGCATCCTCTGCAAGGTTTAGGTCTCCTCTGCTGAGCTCCCCAGAATTCAAGGGGAGCTGAGGGCTGCTAACAGCCTGATTGGCTGACACGGAACAAGTCAGGCTTCCTGGAGTCTTGCTCCTGATGATTCCAGGTTCCTGACTGCTGGCTGGGTCACACTGCTTCATGACAAACCTGAATGGGAGGCAGAAAGCCAGTGAGATGCCACAGGAAGCCCCTCCCTCCTCCTGGTACCCTCCCAAGAACACCATATAGCCTGTTCCCTAACTCCATTCCACCACTAGAGGAGAGAGGAGGCCCAGGAGGATCTGCCAGGACAACTGCAGGCTCCACCCCCGCCCAAGACTATGGCCCCACCTGAGCTCTCACAGTCCCTCTTCAACCTTTCGTTCAAGGTCTTCCTTTTTTTGGTCACACTGGGGATGGAACCTAGAGCCCTGCACATGCTAGGTAAAAGCTCAACCACTGAGTTAGATCCCTAGCGCTTTGTAAAATTTAAAACATGGCCTCAAAAGTCGTCCAGGCTGGCCTCAGATTTGCAATCTTCCTGCCTCAGCCTCCATAGTAGCTAGGATCACAGGTGTGCACCACCACACTCAGCAAGACCACATTTTTTAACTGAAGAGAATCCAGCCAGGAACCGCACTACCCTACCTGATAGTGGCACTGCCTGCTACGAGGCCAAGAGACTGCAGGGTTGTGCTCCGCAGGGCGGCCCCACCTGTCACCTACAGGAGGACAAACAGGACATGTGGACCTCTCTCTCAGACCCCTGTGCCTGGGGCAAAGCCCCCACCAGGACCTGCCCCCCATGTTAACCAGGTACCTTCTCCCACTCACCCCTCACTTGTCCTTGCCATCCCACATGCTCTATAAGGCCCGGCATGCATCTACCCTGTACCTAGAGAGGAACTACTGACCATCTCTGTCTCCTGACCCAGCTCACCCTCCTTGGCAGTGAACCAAGCCCATTGAGGCCAGGGAGGAAGACTGGGTGCATCGAGGATATCCTTAAAGCAAAGAGGCCAGGTTCCCAAAGACATGAGCCCCACCATATGTTGTCCTCTCCACCCAAACTCTGAGTGTGGACAGAGAGAATACAGAGGTCTTGCGGAGGGCCTCAGTTCCTGACCCATATAAACACTGGAGTCACAGCTAGTCAGCCATGCGCCCCCAAGGAGCCCAGCCCCGTGGCCCTAAGAACTAGATTTCACCCCACCACAACCAGAGCCCTGCCCAAAGCTAATGCCTATGGAGGATGGAGAGGCTGGATGAGTTGAGGAGCATGAGGCTATACACACATGGACAGCTCCTTGCCCAGCTCCCCTGGGGCAAAAGGAACAGAGAATGGGCACCACACCAACACTGACACAGCCCGATTTGCTCTCTGAACACCAGATCTGCACCACTGGTAAGTGGCCAAGATCATGCCAGGCCTCCTTGAACAGACCGTGCTGAAAGAAGGCCCCAAGCCTTTCCCCTTACCACCCCAGTTTCCTCACAGAGCCATACCAGGCCCCCACCCAGCCTACGACAGCAGTAAGCAGGAGGCAGGCATTGGAGTTCCAGGTACCTGCCAAGCCCTGTGTCAGCTTCATCATGGCTTCACAGGCACCTGCCAGGCCACATGGGTCTGGGGACCATGAAGGGGCTGGGCGCCTTTATCCAGTAGGTCAAGGGCTGACTGGCAAAACCTACTTTTGAAGATCTTCTGAGCCATGGGGTCCCAAATCATAATACCTGGCCACCCAGGCTCTGCTGGCGTGGCAAGAGTGACAATATCTACTCTAAACCCCAGCTGGCTACAGCCACAGCAGCTCTACCCATCACTGCCACAGCCACCCACAGCTGTCCTCCTGGCCAGCATTGCCTCGGGGACACTGCCCTTCATGCTGACCTTCCCCTCTCATGGTCACTCCCAACAGCAGCTCAGGGCAGGCTAGGCTGACCCTCCACTGAGCTGCCTCCAGAGAAAACAGTCCCTCAGGGCTGAACTCTACCACGAGCATAACACACAAGCCAGAGGGTCAGCCTGATAAGGAGTCAGCTGAGTCCCTCAGCCCCATGGACCATCTCCTCCTGGGAGGATACTGGCCCAAACTATGTCCCCCTTAGGGCTCCCCCACCCTTCACAACTCTAGGTCAGGGAACCTTGACTGGGCATAAACAGGGAAGTCCCATCCACTCCAGGGCCCTTCCAAGGCCCCTCAGGGACAGTGCCTGCCCCCTTAAGCCAGTTAAGGGCGCTGGGCCAGCATGGAAACAAAAAAGCTCCTATGAGGCCACAGGATGGAGCACTAGGAAGGTCCCTCCAGGCAGGCAGGGTTGGAGAATGCAGGGCCTCACTGCCAGGCTCTGCCTGCACCACGTCGCCCTCAGCTTTGAAAAAGATCAAAATATGAAGCAAATCAAATATTTATTAAAATAAAACCACTTTTGTGACTCTTGGGCTTTGAGAGAAGCTGAAAAAACAAACAGGGCACTGAGGGAGGTTTCAGGAGCAGCCAAGCAGCCACAGTGGGCTCCAGCAGGGCCAGCAGCTCGCTTTTTTCCATAAAACACATCATGCTTTCAGCAGCCTGCTGCCCAGCCGCCCTTTGAAGACTGTACAGCAATGAAGTTTCCAGGTTGGAAAGTGGGCCTCCTGGTTGGGCAGGCAACTGGCAGTGGGGCAGCACCTACCTCATCTCTCATGTATATGCAGGCAGGGGTCACCTCACCCAGCTGCTGCAGATGCTCCCTGTAGGAAAGAAAAGGAAGCCTCAGGGACCTGCCCCTCAGACAGCTGGGAGCCCAGAACTCTGCGCAGGACCACTCCTATGCCTCACTACCACCAGAAGAAGGCAGCCAACAGCTCAACAGAGGAGCGACAGGGTCATTAGTCCAAGGCCTGGGGGCTTCTCCACCCATCCCCATCCCTGAGGCCAGGCCCCACAAGAGCGGGACAAGCAGCCCTAGTCCCAGCACCCCCTCAAGTGGCACGCTGCCAAATGTAGCACTCTCAGCCATGCTCAAGTCTAGAGGCCTACAACAGATCCTGGGGCCTGGGGTCTGGCTTCCACTTGAAGCTGCCTCTAAGAGACTCACTGTCCATAGAGACCACTAGGACCAGCACCAGGGTACAAATACATTAGGTGAACTCAGAGCAAAGAGGCCAGGTTCCCAAGGACATGAGCCCCACCACCTGTTGTGCCCTCCACTCAGACTCTGGGGACGGAGAGAGTGTAGGGGCTTTGCAGAAGGGCCTCAGTTCCTGACCCATATAAACACTGGAGTCATGGCTGCTCACCTGTGCCCAGCCCAGTGCCCCCAAGGAGCTAGACTGCGCCCCACCACAACCAGCCATGTGACTCAGGCTATGACATATCCTTTCAGTGCCTGGATGTGCAGGGTGACATAGTGCTTCCTCACAACCCACAGGTCAGACACCCAACCCCTGACAAGAAACAAAAACTGACTGCAGGAAAAGAACGACAGAACTGGCCTGGACTCAGCTGGGACACGCAGCACCCTGGGCCACTCTATCACATGGCTGGGGACACAGGAAAAGGAAACAGAGCAGAAACAACTGAAAAGCACCACAGCAGGACAGATTCTCTCCTCCACACCTGGACTTGGTTGTAGCCTTAAGGCTGTGTTTCTTGGTAAGACACCCCATGTCTATTCATGTGACTGCAGCCACCACCCCTCTGCAGAGTCCAACGGCCAGGTGGGCACACATGCAGCCTAAAAGACACACTGACCCACTAAGGCTCAGGTGCTGCTGCTTCCTGGCCCTTGAACATTTCTACATTGATGCCCGCGGGAAATGAGGGCAAGGTCATTCCTGCACTTCCAAACACACAATCATAAAATTCACCCCAGAAACAAGTGGGTGTACGCAGGCCAATCCTTGTCCAAGGAGGGAAGCAAGAGGAGCTAGGCCCAGACAGGGATGAGGCAGAAGCAGAGGTCGTGATCCTGCCAGGCATCATAGCTACTGTTAAGCCTAAGCAGACAGAGTCTGGACCAGAAAACAAAAAAGTTGGGCTTGTGACAGGAAGGCAAGGCATATGGACCAGAGGAGGATCTGGGTGTGATGGTGCATGTTAATCCCAGCTATCTGGGCAGCTGAGGCAGGAGGGATGATGTTTGAGCCCAGCCTGGGATACTTAACTCAGTGAGATCCTATCTCAGACGAATGGATGGGTAAGACAAAATGAGATTAAAAAAGAAAGGAAAAGAAAAAAAAAGTTGATTTAAAAATTAGGTAAAGGCTAGGTTTGGAGAGGCAGGCCTGAAAGGGCAGAGGGCAGCATGGCAGGAATGTCCAGGTGTGAGGACAGGTATGAATGTCCATGTGCACAGGGCAGGCCTGACCCACATGATCACGTCTGAAAAGCCAAGGGGGCCACTAGGGCAAGAAACACCAGCCATGGCTCCTCACCCTACAGGAGTGAGCCTGCCTTCATGAGATGGGGAGGCTATGGGCAAGGAAGTCTGAGTCCAGAGGCAGGAAGGCTCATGGCAAAGTGGCAGGCCCCTGTGGCATGCCCACATCTGGGGCCTGGGCTGCTGAGCACAGTTCTGTCTGTGGTGTGGTTTGGCGCGTTTTCCTTCACTTCTCTTGCTCTGTTCTTTGTTTTCACTTGTGTGTGTGTTTCCCACTCCTGGGATGCCACCTTCCCTGCCCAGGGCCCAGCACTGTTCTCCACAGCTGCCTTCTGAGGCCTCACCAGAGCACCTACCCTTTACCAAAGGGCCAGTGACTTGGCCCACCAGAGACCCCGTGGCCTCAGGGATCAGGGACACACAAGACCCCAAGCTGTGCTGGAGTGACAAAGGCTGCAGGCCCAGGCCAGGCTGAGAGGCTCTCCTTTCCGAAGCCATGACAAAGGAGAGGCAAGAAAGTCAGCAGGCAAGACACTTGGAGGGAAGGAGGAATGGGGCCAGGAAGGAAGACCAGGGTCAGTAAGCTGAGGTTCCTGCCGTGCGAGACTGAAACGCATAAGACCCACGGCAGGAAGAAGTTGGTCATCACAGAGCCGGCCAAGTCACTCGGCCTGAGGCTGCCTATGGCCTTGATGCCAGCAGAGCACGGCCAGTCCCCCTTCTCAAAGCTCTTTCCTAGGGCACTGTGGGACCACAAATCACAAACAAGGACACAGCACAGTGGCATACCATCAAAGTGGCCCAGCTCTGATGCACAGCTCCTCCCAAGGGAGCAGCAGGCAGGCCAAATTCCCTCATGCTGCTGAAGAAGCAGCCTGTAAACATATTGGGTGCCCACAGGCTGGGGGAGGGGTAGCCAAAATCGCTTCCAGACCTGTGCCACCCGGCCCAGCAAGCACTGCTCTCAGTCCTGAACAGACGGCCAGGAGATGTCCTGACAGCAGCAGAGCCTCGCTAGCCCCACACAGACCTCACACACTCTCAGTGTCACTGACCCCAGGGCCCAAAGTCCTGCTCCTGTACCTCAGGCCAGACCCAAAACAGCCAAAAACAGTTCTCTGGAGTGAGAAACCAAGACTGGTGGCTCCCACAGAGCCCACCCACCCACACAAGATGCCTCTCTGCCAAGAGGGAGGATGCTGGGGAATCCACGAAGCCCCACTCCAAGGCTAACAAATCTCCCCTGGCCAGAGCTATGTGCTTCACTCACACAGAGTGCAAGGCACCACCCAGGGCACAGGTCCCATGCCTATGCTACTGTGCCCAATCAAAACCTCCCAACAGACAGGAGGGTAGCTACCTTTGCCTGACCAAGACAGGGCTGGTATAAACACTAGTACTGCCAAAAAAGCCTGGTGCCACCGCACTCTCCCCATGCAAGGACAACCCACAGTGACAGCACTAGCAAAAGCCGGAAGGGCTTCAACTGCAAGCAAAATGTGGTTCCCAGTTCAGGAGGCCCATCAAGGGTGAGGCTTCATTCTGAGGGCACCAGGTGTCTCACCAACAGGTGACAGGCCATGCCTCCTGTCAGGCTGGAAGGAACCAGGAGGCCCAGGCCACTGAGCCTAGAAGAGTCCCGAAGACAGCAGCCCCTGGTCCTGTTGCATCAGCTATGGCCAGGAGCCTGGAGCCACGTCCTGCTGGGCACAGAAGTATACCCCAAGTGTGGCCACAGGCTAGCCCTCAGGCCCTCAGCAGAGGCCGGTCCTCACTGGCAGCCCTTCTCTGCAGCCCCACACACCCCAGTGACTCCAGAGATCACCCAGCCCTGCAGAATGAGTACTGGGGAAAGGCTGGACTTCCTCACAGCCGGACTGGAGTCAGGCTGGCCACAGGAGCTGAAACTGGCCAGGGGGTGAACCACGCCAGGCAGCTGGCACTAAGCTAGCACCTCTGAGAGGGTAAATCCCCTGTGTAGGGAGTCCACAAATTTGACATTTACAAGAGACCCACACTGTTCCCAAACTGACTTGGGGTGGCGTGGCAGAGCAGATCCTGAGTTCCTGAATAGCTGGTGTACAGAGTGCAGGAGCCAGCCAGATGCTAAGTCCTTGTTACAGGCCCTCACTATCTTTGTTAAACATGAGCCAAAATTTCTTACACTGGAGTGTAAACTCTCTCTCTATGCAGCTTCCAGTTCTCCCTTCCCCCCCAGCTCTCTGTACGGCCCACCCATACCTTGGCCCTACTCAACACCTCCTGGCACCCCTCCCTCTGGAGCAGCTGGGTGAAGCCTGCTTGGCTGGCCCCAATCACCCCACACCCACATGGACTAAATGGACAGCCACAGTCTCATCCTGGAGCTCATGGTGAACAAACCTGCCTGAACAAAGCCTCTGGGTACCTTTCTCCACACACTCCTGACCGCCACCATGTGTGGCCACGTGCCCCAGGCCCTTCAAGTGATAACACCTTTATCTCGGTCTATGCCTTGCCTAATCACTGAAGGGGCATTTCATCTCAGAAGCCTAAATTAAAGTATAGGCCCAATCTGGGCAGGCAAAAGCAGGTCCCCTGGAGATCAGGGTGGCTGTTCAAGCTCATGTGATGGGTGAACCATCAGATTACAGAAACATGGGGCACCCCAGAGCCAGCAGCCCTGAGCCCTCTCAGCAGAGTCCAGGAAGCAGCAGGAGGAGCACTCAGTCCTATCTGCACAGTGGCCAGCCAGGGGGAGACAAACTCCAAGTTCAAATCACACTGGATTTCAAAAATTGTCTACCAATGCACATGACCCCTCTACTGATCACATGTTCAAAGGATATTTTGGGTGTGCTAAGTTAATTAAACATATTACTGAAATTAATTACACCTGTTATTACTTTTTCTTTAATGTGGTTACTACAAAATTGTAAGTTACCTCTGCGGCCTGCAAGTGTGGCTTGTGTGGTATTCCCAGTGGCCAGCACTGATCCAGACACTGGGGGTCAGAGCTGGACCATGTCCATGTTTAGAAAGAAGCTGCCTTTCAAACACATGCTGCCTCTACACCAGGAAATGCCTGGTGGTTCCCAAACATACAAATCCGCATTGATTCTGACAGCACACTCACCTCTGAGGGCTCATGAGTACCCCTATAGACACTGACTTTGGCACCCCCATACACACACCCACAGGCACGGCACTCAGTAGTTCCTGGACCCTCCTAGCTTTCAGAAGGCATCAAGGGGAAAGCCAGTTGAAGACAGAATTCCTAGAGCAAGGCTCCTCCCTCCCTCTCAGGACATCATGATGCACCCGCTCCTGGGGCATGTAGCCCTCGCCGTGATGCTGGAAACGCACCTACCACAAGGCCTCCATTCGGCTTCGTAAAACATGGGAGCCAGCTTCCAAGACACTCTGGGGTCTGAACTTTCAGAAGTGAAAGTTAACAATGGCCAAGCAAGTCTGCTTCTGGACTTACCCCAAGGGAGCAATTCAGCAGGTGCAGGCCATACACTGAGCCACTCACTGCTGGCACTGACCCAGTACACAAGCTAGGCAGCATGTCCATTCACAGAAGATGACTTGGCGGGTAGTGACTGTGACAATCTTTAGGAAAACAGTCGTGACACACAACAGAAAGCCAAGTACAAATCATTCTGTATTCAACGCTCCTGTGTACAAACTCTTCATAGGTTGCACCTGTTGCTCAGACCCCAAGGCTGTGAACTCGGGCCGTGACCTCCCTGGGAGGTCCCCATGACCTTCCCTCCTCTCACAGGAAGGTGCCCCCACGTTTTCCTCCCCTGCTCCTTCACAGTTACAGGACTCACCGGTCCTAAGGGGTTTATGTAAGTATCAGTGTCCCCCACCTTTCCTAGTATCCTCAGCCCCTCCTCAGGGGCCAACCCAGGACACCTGGGTTCACACTCTCTTTGTTTCCTTTGGAGGACTGAACAACCATAAAGTGGACCTGAGCACCCTGATCCTCCACACAGCTGGGGTACCACCTGGGAACAGTGTCCTGGCCTAGACGGCATCTCCCTGCATCCTGACTCATGTTGTCCATGCTTGTTTAGCTTTACCTGCAGCCACCGCTCCCTGCTTGAGAACACCTGGCCCTGGCACCACAGTGGAGCCCAGAACCCAGCTGTAGAGGTGCAGCAGACTCCACAAGTGTCAGAAAAACCTGGGCCTTCGCCCTGAACCAGGAGCAGCTCATTCTACCCTGACTTTGCGACCACGGCAACACAGAGAACCCTAGGACAATAAGGTCCTCATATAAGACTGTGAAGGTGGGGCCAGGGATGTAGCTCAGTGGTTTCACCACCTGCCTCACAAGGGCAAGGTCCCAGGTTTGATCCACTGCACCATTATAAAAAAAAAATTTAAAAAAAGATTCTGAAGGTGCTTGTTGCCCCTCAGGGGCTTCAGGCCTGCCATTCACCTTGACAGCTATCAGCTTCTTTGGCCAGGTCCTGCATCTCACATGACATCCCTTGATAAGGGTCTTCTGTCATGGCAGGACAGGGCCCCCAGAGGCTTCTGGCTGACCTTCGGACTGACCTCACTCACCAAGGTGAAGCCTCCACGCCCATAGGGGCTCAGCCCTGCAACCTGACCAGTGTCAGCCCCAGGCCCTGTGCGCTCCATGCAGAGGCAGGGCCCCCTCATCTGCCTCACAGCTCCAGCTGAGACATGCCATTTACTAAGGCACTATTGACTCCTACACCCCCACATTTCCAGGATCCCTTCTCACAAATGTGCCTTTCAAGCCCTGACTCCTCTGGACTTTGCCAGGCCTCTGAGGACAATGATGCAGCTACTATGTTCAGGCATCCTCTCTCACATTAACATTCAAGCCTGCCTCCATTATTTTTCATTTATTGTGGGTGAGAACTGTCCCCAGGGCCTTTGCACTAATCTATATCTCCCCCTTTTTAATTTTGAAATAGAGTCTCATTAAGTTACTAAGTTGAGGGTGGGGATTTGGTTCAGTGGTTTCACTGCCTGCCTCACAGGTACAAGGGCCTGAGTTCTATCACTGTACCAAAAAAAAAAAAAAAGTTACTGCCGGGCATCATGGCGCATGCCTGTAATCCCAGCACTCGGGAGGCTGAGGCAGGTGTATTGCTGTGAGTTGAGACCAGCTTGGGTGACATAGTGAGTTCTAGGTCAGTCTAGATCTTGTCTCAAAAAAACCAAAAAAAAAAAAAAAAAAAAAAAAAAAAAACAAAAAAAAAAAAAAAAGACAAAAAAAGAGCACCTAAAACAAAACAATAGAGGCGAGGCATGGTGGTGGATGCCTGTAATCCCAACATTCTGAGAGGCTGAGGCAGGAGAATCATGCATTTTAACCCAGTCTAGTCAACTTAGTAACTTTTTTTTTTTTTTTTTAAAAAAAAAAAAAAAAACAAAAAAAAAAAAAAAAGACAAAAAAAGAGCACCTAAAACAAAACAATAGAGGCGAGGCATGGTGGTGGATGCCTGTAATCCCAACATTCTGAGAGGCTGAGGCAGGAGAATCATGCATTTTAACCCAGTCTAGTCAACTTAGTAACTTTTTTTTTTTTTTTTTAAAAAAAAAAAAAAAAATTTCCTAAGTTGACTAGACTGGTTTAAAATGCATGATTCTCCTGCCTCAGCCTCTCAGAATGTTGGGATTACAGGCATCCACCACCATGCCTCACCCTCTATTGTTTTGTTTTGCGTGTTTTTTTTTGGTCTTTTTTTTTTTTTTGGCGGGGGAGGGTTGAGACAGTCTTACTATGTAGTTGAGACTGACCTGGAACTCACTATGTAGCCCAGGCTGGTCTCGAAATCGCAGTGATCCTCCTGCCTCAGCCTCCCAGAGTGCTGAGATTATAGGCGTGCACCACCACACCCGGCATGTTTTTTTTGTTGTTGTTTTTTTTGTGGGGGGTAATAGGGATCAAACTCAGGCCCTTGTGCTTGTGAGTAGGCAGTGGCACCACTGAGCTAAATCCCTGGCCCCTCTACTTGTTCTTTAAATCCAATTCAATCTGGTTTAATCTCCCTGCCCCTGGAGACTGCTGAAGTTGGGTCTCTAAGACCACAGCCTGCACACCCCAGTGACCCTATCCATTAGCACAGCACCTGAGGCAGCTGGGCACAAATGCCTGATCAGAGTGGGCTTTTCTACAACAAAGCCCCCCTGCCATGGTCCATTATGAGTATCCACTCAGAGTCACCTTCAGATTCCCACACACCACTATGCTAGCATCTGTTTTCAGTAGTCAACACATTGGCTCAGCTCACCTGCACAACACCCGTGGTATAGATGAGGCGCCATGGGCCCAGAGAAGGCAAACGGCTCACCTACAGTCACACAACTAACACTTCTTCCATTCTGCTGGCTGAGGCCTTAAAGCAAAAACTTGCATCCCATAATATAAGACCTGGACTTAAAAGGGCTACCCTTCATTCATCAGGAATAAGTTCAAAGTATTAACCAACAAACGAGATAGCACAGAACTGTATCATTAAACAAACTTCTTTCCATACCAGAGCTTTACACTGAGAGGCTGCCAACAGAGGGGCTATCACATGGCCATCTGCCTGTTCTACCCAAGGATCACCGAAACACATTAAACACAAGCAGGGAATCACACACTTAGCCCTTAGGGACTCTCATCTCCACAGCGCAGAAGCCTGCCCTTGCTCTGCTTGGTAGGCTGGCAGGGCTGTTGGACCTGGACGATGAGCCACTGGCCAACCCACACCTATCGGTGCAGAATGGCAAGCAGGTCTCAAGTCTGCACAGCCAGCAGTGTGGGTGTCAGGCCAGCGGGGTGACCATGGACGCACCTCTGCTGAGAGGGGCAGAACGAGCCTAGGGACCTGCCCACCGATGCTCACCTGGTCTGTGCAAAATGGCTGAGGAGCTCCCAGAGAGTCTGACCCGAAGAGAAAGTGTCCTGCAACCGGGAGCCGTCATCCAGCTGCAAAGCCACCCGAACCTGGAGGGCAGAATGCAAGAGCCTCATTAGGAACAAGAGCAGCCATCCTGTGGCAGTTCCAGAATACGCACCCCCAGGACTCCCTGGGAGATTCACAAGGAGGCCCCTGGAGGGCTGTGCAAACATGTGCAGGGCATGCACACCCGTGTGCAGGTGCCACAGGTGGCAGCCATCACAGACTCACTCCCAGCCCAGCAGCACCCCCTCAAAACTACCAGACACTCTGAGCAGAGCTGCTTCCAAGCCAGCCCCGTTAGTCAGTGTTGGGTGCCATTCTACCAGGTTTGGGATAATCTGTTACCAGCAATAGACAACCAACACACACTGTGTTTTTCTCAGCTTTTTTCTTAACTGAGCACACTGCTTTTACAAATCTAATTTTAATAATTTTGTGCCCAATCAAGAGAGGCTGTAATCTGAAAGGAGGAAAAGTCCCTTCTGGCCCATCTAGCAAGTGACAGATGTGCTAATTTACAAAGCCTGGCTGTGAACACAAGTACAACATCCTCTCTGGGAGAAACACCCATCTAGCCATGACACATGCCTGTAATTCAGCCCTCTGGGAGGCTAAAGCAGTACTGTGAATTCTAGTCTGGCCTGGGAAACTTAACAACTCAGTGAGAATTTATCTCAAAATAAAAAATAAAAAGGGTTAGAATACATGGTTCAGCATGAAGGTCCTGGGTTCAATCCCCAGTACCACAAGAGAGAACATAAGAGAAAAGAAACCCCGAATGCCACCATCAGCCCATATACCACAGCCTAGTGTACAATTCTCAAAGTCATGATAAACCATGCTGTTTTAGCCACAGGATTTTTTCAAGTGCATTTACATTAAGTCTCAATGACACAGAGGAGGAGCTGCTCCATGTGACAAGGGCCAAAGCCTCTCAACCCCATGCGCCTCCCAGGGATCCCCAGAGGAATCAGGGTTCCTTCCACAAAGCAGCAGTAACACAAAAAGATCAGGGATAGGGTCAGTCCCAGCCACTCGACTTCTGGCTTGGCGTGGGCCAGCAGTGGCTTTAGGAAGTAACAAACGGCACAGGCCGAGCCTCCTGGTCTCCTGACAAAAATTTAAAAAGCATAGGCCAGGGATTTTTAGCTCAGTGGTTCCACCGCCTGCTTCGTAAGCGCAAGGTCCCAAGTTCAATCTCCGGTACCAAAAAAATAAAATAAAAATTTTTTTAAAGTACCTTCTGGCAGCAAAGGAAAAATACATTATCTCATAAGTCAATGATCCAGCAGCAACACAGTAAACAAAGCAACAATGGCCACAGCTGCCATTTTCACATGTGACAACCTAGCTGACCTCCTAATGCTTCTAGACACTCACAATATGACTGGGAAGGAGCTGTGCGCTTGCAGGCAGTGCCACAGCTGGGTCCAGTGAGCCCTGCCACAGAAGCCCGGCAAGGCCTGGGGCCCTTCTGAGCTGGCAGCTGGCCAGCTCCATACAGCTTTTTGAGTTCTACACATCTTTTGATTGCACATCAGGCTGGTGGGTGAATGCTGCTGACAAACTAGCACAAATGCACACCATTAACCCACCAAAAATAACAGTAACAAAACCTGCATGAACACTGAAAACTCTCATTTCCAGTCATTAGGTATTTGAGTAGAACACATGGCTCTGGCCAGAAAAACAGACTGGGTCACGGGACTCTTCCCAGCCCTTTCCAGGCCCACGGCCCACCCTTCGCACACCGTGGAACTACCCTGGGTTCTGCTGGTCTGGCGAGCCAGAGGAGCAGGCCTGCTAGACTCACAGCCAGCAACATACCATGTTCTCGGGCCCCTCGCGACTCCGGGACAGAGGCACCATCTCTAGCTTGGCATTGTTGGGCAGATTGGCAAATCTCCACTGGAGAGAGAGGTCAAGCACCGTCCTCTGAAACCTGGAGAACAGAACACAGCCACATGCAACCCAGCCAACCCAACTCGCCCCAACCCCATCTAGGCTGTAGGGCAGCTTCCCTCACCTCCTATGGCTTGCAAAAGCAGAGTTACACCTGCAGAGACAAGAGGCAAGAGGCAGGTCCCTGACCTGCAGGGCCTTTGGGAAGGAAAGAGAAGTGTAGCACTGATTCAGTGTCCAGCCTAAACAGCAAGGAAAAGAGCAGGAAGATGGCAACGTGAGTCTCCAGCCAGGCTGAGGGAGATGCCTGCACTCTGAGACAGGGGCAGGGCCAAAAGCAAACCCTCAGTAAAAAACACATGGAAAGAAGGCTGAGGGGAGTTCTCAAAAACAACCCTGCTTTACGCTGCTGCCACAGGCACTCTCAAATAGGCATCAGGCCCCAGCTGAAGTGGTCACTCTCATCACACCTGCTTCCTGCCATCCCCCTCTATGCCCAACACTGGGTGGGGCCCAAAAAGATTCACCAGTGTTCTAACCCCCAGAACCTCTGAATGTGAGCTTATTTCCTATATAGATCTTTTTACATTATTTGCAATTAAGAATGTGGAACAAGAGCTGGGGATTTAACTCAGTGGTTCTGCCACCTGCCTTACAAGCACAAGGCCCCAAGTTCAATCCCCAGTACCAAAAAAAAAAAAAAAAAAGAATGTGGAATGAAGTCATCACAACATGCCTATAATCCTAGCATTCCAGAAGCTGAAGCAGGAGGACTGCAAATTCAAGGCTAGCCTGGTCTACACAGTGAGTTCAAGCCAGTCTAAACTACACAGCAAGACCTTGTCTCAAAAAACAAACAAAACAAAAAAGAATGTTGAGGGCCATGGATGCTGCTCAATGGCACGGAGACCTTCTCTCAGAAAATAAAAGCACTGGGGATTTAGCTCAGTGGCACCACACCTGCCTCACAAGCACAAGGTCCTGAGTTTGATCCCCAGTACCAAAAAAACACACAAATAAGACAGTGAACCTTTTAGAACTTTCCTTTCTTATTTCCCAGTAGTTGGAATCAAACTCAGGACTTTTCGTTTGCCAGGCAGGTATGGGACCACTGAGCAAAATCCCCAGTCCTTCTTTTAGAGCTGTTAATAATACAAACAGCCCCCTGCAGCACAAATGCCATAGGCTCCCAAGATTGTCCTAAGACAAAGAAACCATGTGAAGACAGAGGCAGAGACTAGAATAGCACAGCTACAAGCCAAGAAACTATTGGGCCCACAGAAGTTAGAAGAGGAAAAAGAAGTACTTTCCCTGAGGATGTTCAAAATACAGCTCTGAAGCACATATACTAAAACTGGAACAATACAGAGACTAGCATGACCCCTGCACAGAGATGACACCCAAGTTCAAGAAGTGCTCTGTAATTTTTCAAATGGGAAGGGGATCAGGAGATGGAGAGAAGCAGAAGGGAGGGGAGGAAAAGGGGATGAAAAAATAACTGAAATGTGTTATGTATATGTACCAACTCCCCAGAAGGAATATAATCATTACATAAACATGTATTAATAAGCAGTAAAAACTGGGTGAGAAAAAGGAATACAGCTCTGTCAGCACCTTGATTTTGTTTGGGGAAGAAGATTTTTTTGGAGATAGGGTCTCCCTACATAGTCATGGCTGGCCTCCAACTCTAGGTGATCCTCCTACCTCAGCCACCCAAGTGTTGGGATTACAGGCATGAGCCACCACGATTAGCTACCCCCTTGATTTTATAGACTTCTGGCCTCAAGAACTGGGAAAGAATAAACTTCTGTTGTTTAAGTACGCTACGGTCAGTACATTTTGCGTCAGTGCTGTGAGCAGACAATCTGGGCCCCACAGGTGAGTCCAAACTCACTTCAGGTCATATTCACTGGGGTTGAAGTCCTGTCGCCGGCATGTGTCCTCCAGAACCTGAAAAACAAGAGGACAGTGACCCCCCGTGTGGGGCCAGGGCACTGACTCTGCAGGCACAGAGTCCACTTAAGGATGAGCTGGCTGGCTTGTGCCCAAGCAAAACTCAGTATAAGGCCGCTCAATGTGCAGCCCAATAAACACCTCAGCAGGAGATCCACAAATCCTGTCCACTCTTTCTTCTTCCTGAGAAGACCTCCATGTCCTGCCTTGTGCCCTAGTCCTATGGCCACAGATTGTCCATGCCTGGTCTCATGTTCCGGGCTCTTGAGGGCCTCTTTCCACAGGAAGATCCTACCACATGCCCTAGGATTCTCCTACACACACATCTAGGAAATAAAACTCAAACTCAAACCTACCCATCCAAGCCTGGCAGCCTACAGTGCACCAGTTCCTCTGCCCCAAGCCTCACCCCTGCTCCCTGAAGGCCAAGCTCCCCTCAGCCAGCCCAAATTAGTCCTTTCAGGAGGTCCTACCAAATCTCCCAGAACTCCCTCTTTTGAACTGTGCGTACCCCACTCGGTGAGCTATCAGACAAGGGTGGTGTGTCCCTTGGCATGCTCACTGTACCCCACAGCAGGGGCTCAATAAACACTTTTAAATTTAATTCATTTCAGGTCCCAAGCTACGTTCAGCAAAAGCACAGCGAGTGACTAGGCAAAATCCACTTCCGGGCACGAAGCCGGCTGGTTGGGGTCCCGGCGGACTCCAGGGACGAAGCGGAGGCACTGGGTTTGGCCAAACGCAGAGGACTCGGGGACCCTCGCGGGGACACAAGCAGAGCAGCTGGCAGGGCGCTTCTAGAGGTCGCCGGCGCCCGCCTAGCCCTCGGGAACCGCCTAGGCCAGGTCCCGCGGAGGAG